GAGACCACCCCCGGTCCCTCGAAGGACCTTAATTAATTTAAAGTTTGAACAAGCAATGATCTTGTCTTGACCGTCCGTTTCTTGTTATGGTGACACAGACTTTTAAAAGTATTCATGCAATTTTTAAGGTTCACCAGCCTCACCTCACATGAGAGTTTCGTTTCATCTTTTGTCCTTTTATCTTTGTTTAAACCAATACATTAATTACAACAGACTCTAAGGAGATTTTCATTTAAAAGAAAAAAAAAGGTATTAGTTGTGGAGCAAACTTCAATGATCTAAACAATCTATTTTTTAAGTTGAACCTCATAGGTTATTCTTGTAAAATTTTAGCCAAATCGAAAATATTGAGGCATCTAATTGAGTTAAAAATTTGACGAACACTATGTTCTAAGAAACATTGAAATTTCATTATAAAAAATTAAATGGAGAAATCGTTTCATCTTTTGTATAGATGATCTATGATTCGAGACTTATAAAATAGCCAATTTGGATTGTTGCAGTTTGATGTGATGTGAGCCTCACAACTAATCCTTATTTTTTGAAAAATAAATAAATAAGAATCCTATTACATCCCACATCACCCAGGGGAGTGGATCCTGTAAGCCTTATATGCATATTCACATCTCTACCTAGCACGAGGCCTTTTGGGAACTCATTGGTTTATGGTTCTGTAGGAACTCTGAAGTTAAGTGAGTTCGCGCGAAAGCAATCCCAGGATGGGTGACCCACTGGGAAGTTCTCGTGTGAATTCCCAGAAACAAAACCGTGAGGGCGTGGTCGGGGCCCAAAGCGGACAATATCGTGCTACGGTGGAGTTGAGCTCAGGATGTGGTGGGGGCCCAAGCCGAGATGTGTCAGTTTGGTATCAGAGCATAAGTTGGGCAGTATTGTGTTCATCACACGCGTGATGTGAGCATTCTTGGTTTTTGTGCCTAATGTTCGAATCTCGCCATCTCGTCGAATACGGAAAATACGTTAGTTTTTCTTCAGTTTTGTGGTTTTGACGACTTTTAAGAAAATCATGTTGGCATTTGTTCTTAGAATTAAAACGAAGTTATTCCTTGTGGAAGCAATGTGTAGATTTGAGGTAAGTTGATGGCCTAAGTTAATGTATGGATAACCGTGTATCACTAGAGATTTTACCAACCAATTTCATCATCATTCTTCCGTTGTTAATATTGATCTTTTTGAGATTGGAAATCCCAGCTAGTTTTGATTTCTTGGTAGTATTGTTAGAATATCACCTAATAGAATTCTTGCGAAGTCTACTTTTGCTAAGATTCTAGAAATGTCTCATGTGACCATTTCATGCTAAAGTGGTAACACACAGCGGAAGAACATGTTTGGGAAATTACTTTTGGTCCCTGTTAGCACTAATATTTTCAAACGTACATGTGTTCATACTGGATCTTCAGGAGGAAGATCGACTCTCGATAAAGTCATTTTGAAAGTAGATCTTTAGTAAGGTTTTTTCTAGCCTTGGGATTTTTCAATCAACGCTAATTCCCAGATTTCGCTTTCGTAGTTATACTTATTAAATGGGAGAGAATGGGCTTGCGAGAGTAAGTTGTCATATCCTGGGAGTAGTAGAAATCCGAAAAGCAATAATCAAATCCTCCTAGGATCAATGAACTACTTCGCTTGAGCCGAATAAACTAGGATCGTGAAAGCTTAGGAACAAGCTTTGTTTTAGGACAGTAAACTCATGGTTGTTTTTACCTTATCACCTACCTAGGTAAACGAAACCTCTTCGACTAGCCACCTCTCGATCACTTCCATAGGTAGATAGTAGAATCAAATTACGGGTTAATGTCTCACTGTTAGAGTGATTTGAGTGTCGAGGAAACTGTGTGGACCTTTTAGTTCGTGTCGTAGAGTTGGTTAGTAATATTGTATGTTTCGAGGACGTATACTTTTGGCATCATATCCCAATCTTACCAAGATACCACCAAATTGTTAAGTGATGCACATCATCGACCTACTTCCTAGTATTACACAAATTTTCCTTGCTTCATATCGAACGTTTTTGACATCATTGAGAAACTTAGTTACAAAGTTACCAATTAGGATTTTATCCAATCAGGGATTAAACATTTATTTAGGGAAGTTCAAACCCATTTGTGAGGGCAAAAGACTGAATCCTAGGTTTGTACCTAGATTTTAGCAAATTGATCGATTTAAATCCTACTTCGAATTGATGGTTTAACCAACCAACCTTTGTACCTCCATGGTTTGACGAATTCATAGTGGTCTTATTGGCGATCTTCTTATCTACCTCGATAGTGAGACCAAATTCTTTCAGCTCTGCTAGTCAGCTATATACCAGATTCCTCGGTTGTAAACTTTGATTAAATTGATACTCAACTTAGGAGATGTGACCTCAATGGACGAGATTATTTTCTTTTCCTAGAAAGGTTGTAAAGGAAGAAGTTGACATTTCTCAGTGGAGAACGTGTCTAAAAACTCTTGTTCGTGATCTGATCAAATGTGGAGATAAAAAAGGAAATAAAAAATTGAGGCTCCACTTGAAGTGTTTGAAAAGAATTCTTAGTTTAGGCGCACCCTATTTTTGGTTAGAGTTGAAAGAATGTTGAGGTCATAAAGTTTAAACTTTATGACAACCACAGTCTCTTCTCTGCTGCTTCCAGAGGATGATGGTATTATAGGAGAGAAGCTTCTGGACTTCTATGCTAGTTCAGGCATCTGGATGTATTTATGGTTCACTGTGTTATACGTTTCACTTCCAGACCTTGAGAAATTTTCGAAGGGATTATGAATATTGAATTTTGCCTAGTATCACATTACCACTTTGAGATTAACGATTAGTCTGAATGAACTACTCAGACCTTAATGGACGTGTTGCATGTTGCTCGTCCCACAATTAGTATGGTTGTATCATACCATTGTCTCTAATTTAGTTGCTCGTAACTACGGTTACAATTTTGGTTTGCTATGGTACCATTGGAGTCAATCCCTGAGCGGAAGTATGTCGACGAGGACGTCGGGCCTCTAAGGGGGGTGGATTGTTACATCCCACATCGCCCAGGGGAGTGGATCTTGTAAATTTTATATGATATTCTCATCTCTACCTAACACGAGACCTTTTGGGAGTTCACTGGCTTCGGGTTCCATAGGAACTCCAAAGTTAAGCGAGTTCGCGCAAGAGCAATCCCAGGATGGGTGACCCACTGGGAAGTTCTCATGTGAGTTCTCAGAAACAAAACCGTGAGGGCGTGGTCGGAGCCCAAAGCGGACAATATCATGCTACGGTGGAGTCGAGTCCGGGATGTGGTGGGGGCCCAGGTCGGGATGTGACAAATCCCTTGTTGGAAGTGGGGCTCTCAGCTTGTCTCTCTGAAAATTTTACAAAGAATCTGTAATTATAATCTTCACATAATGTTTTAGACAGGCTGGATACATGTCAAAATTAAAAAATATGTTTTGCAGAAAAGTGAATGAAATTCGTGACAGTAATCAGGATTATACAACCATATATATTTCTTTGTAATGAAAAGAACAATATCGAAGTATTCACAAATTCTAAGTGAAGGTATATGATAAACAACATTTAAACAAATTAACTACTTTTGAATAGTGTTTCAAAAATTAAAAAAATGTCTCATATTCGAATGTCTGTTGAATATAAAACTCCAAAGGCATGGAATTGAAGAGTGTGGATGCAAATTTCTACCTTCTTGTTCTTGGACAAAATTACACCTACAAAACAAATAACACCTTAGGTCAAGGCTAAGAGTCTCATGCGCCCACGATAAATTTGGGAGGGGGGCTTTGGCTGAAGAACCTCCGATGCCAAGTTAGAATTTTGAGAGAATAGTGTTTGGAGAATTTAGCAAGAGGATTCAACTTGGGTTTTTGGAGAAAATGGGGTGATATTTATAGGGGTGTGGCCGGCCACTTGGGTGGTTTTTTGGGTGCGATTCACAATTTATTAGCTAATTAATAAATTAATTGAGTAATAAATCAATTAATTAGCTAATTAATGTAATTTGAAAGGAATGATTTGTGGGTTACCTTGTGGAGAAGATTTGATAAGGATGGATGAAATAGGTTTTGAATAATTACCTATTTTCAGCACTTTTGACCTTGAATGAGTCATGATTGTCCACTGCTCGCGCGTAGGAGTTCAAGTATTTACTTGAGGGTAATTTTATCATTTTTACCCTATAATCCACGTATCATGTCTATATTTTTCTCGATTATTTTTGGCTCTACAAAGGGCATCAAAACCAACAAATTAAACGTTATCTGGATGCCATTTTCTAGCAACAGTTCAAAAACACGAGTGGCGCCTGCTTTTGCTTTTGCTTCATGCGGAAGGGACCTCTGCTCTGCTCCAATATCGGCAGCTGCCCACTGATTTGGTCCTCCATGCATCCCCTCGCTATCTAATTTGTCGCTAGCTCAATGTGCCGGAACAGCCTCAAGTTGCCCCAGCTAACCACAACATGGAGAAACTCATGACTAGAGATTAATAAAAAGTTAAAACAAAACTTTGAAAGAATAATCAGAGTAGCTAGCAGTTTTTTTTTTTTTTTTTTCATTAAGCGTAACATATTTAATTCACTTTGTAATATACAAGAAAAGTGAATTGCTTTTGTATGAGATAGACGCATTATTTTGACCAACTGATTTAACACATATATGCGATTAAGATATATAGCATTTAGTAAAAAATACGAGTATTGTTAAAGATTATATATCATGCAAATGAGGGTTTCAGATCCTAAATTTCTATCGTACTCGTATTCATCACTCACACCACAATTAACCCAATGACTGATAATTAGATATTTTTAGTTATTTTATCTCTTTAATTCTTTGAATTTTATCTATTTAGCAAAAAAGACATAAAGACACAATTTCACTAACTTAAAACAGATTTTACGCATAATTGACCGGTTCTAATTGCAATTAAAAGGCCAGAGGCCTCACTTTCCTTTTTCTCCAACAGCTTTAATGACATGGACAAGAGTCATGCCCTTTTTCCTTCAACAGTTCCACTGTATATATAATCAAAGGCCAATTCAGACTCTAGAAAAATGCAAATTAAATTTTAAACGTGATGGCAAAATGCACCCTCCTTTTAGGCCTCTTACTTGTTCTTGGTTGTGCATTGAAAAGTAGTGGAAAATCCGTCAAGGCAAAGAACATTGATGAATCATCTGCCTCGCTCAACCGGAGCAGTTTTCCCAAGGGTTTCGTGTTCGGGACAGCTTCATCGGCTTACCAGGTATACCTCTAATTAAACTGTTTATCTTTTAAGATTCTCATTAGATATGCTTAACCTTAATTAATGTATATTTATGCTGTGAATTTAAGTATGAAGGTGCTGCAAATGAAGGTGGTAGAGGACCAAGTATATGGGATACATACATGCACAACCATCCAGGTCTCTCTTCTGTTCTAGTAATTCATGTCTGATCAATTTGTAACAAAATCATCACTTAATTCAAAATAAAACTGAAAAGGGACATTTTTTGCATGTTTTTATGAAAAAAATCAGAACGGATAACTGACCGTAGCACTGGAGATGTGGCCGTTGATGAATATCATCGCTATAAGGTACAAGAACATAAATGCTTTCTTCTAAATATTATGCCATATATTCTGATTGGATTTTCTAATTAATTAATTAATTTTTTGTTACAGGAAGATGTTCAGATTATGAAAGACATTGGCCTTGATGCTTACAGATTCTCGATCTCATGGTCTAGACTGTTGCCAGGTAATTAGACCATTAATATAATTACTTTTTACAATCAGGAAATTAGGAGATTACATACTTTTATTATTGTAATTGTTATCTAACTCTTTCTATGAACAATTCATTTGTATTGTTTAATTTGTATTCGATCAGAGGGAAAGCTAAGTGGGGGTGTGAACTACGAAGGAATCAAATATTACAAGAACCTTATCAACGAGCTTTTAGCCAATGGTAATGCCGTGCGTCTCCTATGAAAAAACTTATTAGTGTATGTATTTAGTTTTGCTATATATTATTAATTGTTAAAAACTGCAGGTCTAAAGCCCTTTGTCACAATCTTTCATTGGGATTTTCCTCAAGGTTTGGAGGATGACTACGGTGGTTTCTTAAGTCCTAAAGTTGTGTAAGTGAAAATGGTCTATGAATTTTCCAGTGTGTAGGATTAAGTTCTATGTTCTGATATCATTTTTTCTGATTTTCTTGTATAATATACTACAGGGATGATTTTCAGGACTACGCTGAGCTTTGCTTCAGAGAATTTGGTGACAAAGTTAAGCATTGGATCACGTTGAACGAACCATTAAGCGTAAGCAAGAATGGTTATACAACCGGGAAGTATGCACCAGGCCGATGTTCTGACTGGTTAAAATTAAATTGCCTTGGTGGAGATTCTGGGACTGAGCCATATTTGGTGACACACCACCAACTTCTAGCTCATGCAGCAGCCGTAAAGTTATATAGAGAAAAATATCAGGTCTTGTACTTACAATTTTTGAGTTACCACCGCTAATTATACTTAAGTTTAATTTTTGTGTGGTTGTATTCAAATAACAATCAAATGTTGAACATGCATGCATAATGCACAGAAATCACAAAAGGGAGTGATAGGGATAACGTTGAACTCAGATTGGTATGTTCCAGTGACTGAAGAAAGGAACGACAAAGATGCAGCTAAAAGAGCTTTGGATTTTTCATATGGATGGTATGTGTGTGTGTGTGTGTATTACAGGCAGGATATTAGATGGATATTGCAGATTAAGGAATCACTACTAATTTGATTAAACTAATCTCATATATGTTTCTAAGTTAAAAGTAATATTTGAAATCTTCGATTTGATATTTAGGTTTATGGATCCGTTGGTGAAGGGTCACTATCCACACAGCATGCAAGCTCTTGTTGGAAATCGATTGCCGAAGTTCACTAAAGAGCAATCCGCGATGCTAAAAGGTTCTTATGATTTTATTGGACTAAATTACTACTCAGGAACTTATGCAGCTAATGTTCCTCATCAAAATGATGCAAAACCAAACTACAAGACAGACGCTCTCGTTAATCAATCAGGTGAGCAGAAATAACCAACAAGTTTTCTTCTTAATTTGCTCTATATATACTTACAAGGTTTTGGAACATGATGTTGTGGCAGTCGAGTATAATGGTGTTCCTATCGGTCCACTGGTACGTTGCATTTTCCTTTCTATTGGATAAATGGAGATGGGTGATTCGAACTTCGTAACTGGTTCAACATTTGAAAGAGATGTATCATTAGACTAACCTCCTCGTACCGTGTTTTAAATGGTTTGGCAGGGAGCTTCAGATTGGCTCCATGTTTACCCGAGAGGAATTCGAGATTTATTGGTTTACACAAAGCGAAAGTATCAGAATCCACTTATTTTCATCACAGAAAATGGTAATTACAGCATCAAATATCAACATGTTCACATTTCTATATTTTTTGGCCATCCCATTTGTTAAACATATTATATAACCTAATCTCTTTCATGTTGTAGGATATGACGACCCCAATGATCCGAACATACCTATTGAGGAATCCCTTGCTGATAAGAAAAGAATCAACTATCTTGATCGCCATATCTATTATATTCATAGAGCGATCGAGTAAGTAGCTAAGTGCATAGCCTAAGGAAAGCATGACTTCTTCTCACTCATTTGATCAATAATTTCACTAATCCGATTGTATTTGATTTGGTTTTTTGAGCAGGGACGGTGTTAACGTGATGGGATACTTCATATGGTCATTGTTCGACAACATGGAATGGAATACCGGATACACTGTTCGGTTTGGCATCAACTATATCGACTTCAAAGACGAATTGAAAAGACATCCTAAAGACTCAGCAAAGTGGTTAAAGAAGTTTCTTAAAACAGAAAACCATGAGGATTTGTAAACGTAATTGTATTTGGTATCCACCATATCCTGCGGCACTAGTACTATATATTTAATTTCATCTGCATCCTATTCCTATATCTTCTGCAATGAAAGTGAACGAAGGCTTGAATTTTGCTAATAATAAATGATGGAGATACCTAGCCTGCTACTACCAACCAGTTTGTTACATCTCATTTTGGCCCAGGAGGGCTTGAATTTTGGTCTCCAAAAAGTGGAATTTGACCCGACTCCTGACTTGCAATTGGCAATGCAGAGATCCAATATGATTTTATCTACTGTTTCAAAAATCTCCGCATAGAACCGCCTAGGCCCATCCTAGATGCTAAGCGGCTGATCATCACCCTGATTAATCCTGAGGCATTTGAAAATTAAGAAAGGACGCCTAGACTTGCTTAGGCGCTTGCCTAGACCGTCTAGGTCGCGGCTCTCATTTAGACAGAAAATAGATAACTTTCATTTCGCATTTTATTTGTATCAATACATTATTTAAGAGACTTGTTGAATGCTTAGATGAACAAACATTATATACTTGTCCCCCATATTTTCATTATGTTCAAATGTTTTATAATCTATATGTTATTCTATTTTGCAGTTTATGTATTCCAATGAAATTATGTATTTTTTAAGTATAAGCACACATACTTATTTATACGATATATAATAAATTTACTTAAATCTGCCTAATCCACCTAGGCACTACCTAGCCGCTTAGGCACTAGGCCCCAGCCTACCACCCAACTAGCGCCTAGCGTTTTCTAAAACCTTGATTTTATATAATGTACAGGAAATGATTTTTATATGTCTCTTTTCTTTTAGTGTATTTTTTTTTTGTTTATTTGCATTTCTCGACGGTTAGATGGTGATCATACTATATATATATATATATATATATATTCACATGAATTATATTTGATAGTTAGATGGTTCAAAAAAATATATTTGATAGCTAAATTATAATTATATTAAATATATGTAAGTATTGTAGTCAATTCATTTTTTTATCTATTCAATTCAAACGAAAAAAATTAAACAAGAGCCGATGTGGAAAAGAAATCACTTTTGTAATGTGAAATGAGCTTGGAGGTAATAAGTAGAATAGAACAAGATTACAAAGATAATAAGAAAACCTAGTCTTATCCTTTAGAATAAAATAATCAATTAAATAAATTCCTTGATGGATTAGCCTAAATGTTAAGCGAGAGTGTAGAAAAAATGGGTTAGGATTTGTTCACCGCTAAACAAGAACAGATGAGAATTTCTACGAAATTGTTAGCCGACCAACAACGTTCAAAATAAAATAAAAAAATAGTCAAATTAGTACAGAGGAGAATGTGTAGATAGATAATACGAGTGAATAGATAAAACCAAAAAATAAACAAAAGATTAATCGATGAAATAGCGTTGATAGCGAAAGTGACACCGGTTAGTGATAGAGACTTGGGTGGTAACACAATTACAACGTACTTAAGACGTTAAATGGATCACACCTGAAGCCGAAAATGTATAGGTCGATCAATATGGACAAGAGAAGAAGTAACATGAAAAGGTCCAAAAGCATTTCGATATATAACAAGAGATATATGATTCATATGATTTGATCAACCCTATATTATTCATTTGGACAAAACCAACATGATATGAAAAAAAAGAAAAAAAAAAGGTTTTATGAATTTTTGAGATCAATGATAAACACAACCTCCTTTAGCTTCTCACATATCTGTTTTAATCTTTCATTTGGTTTATTCAATTTAATGACTAGAAATTTAAAAAAAAAAAAAAAAGTATGAGAGAAGCTAAAAGAGTGTGTGAAAATCACATCTCATGTTTTAACGTACATAGAGCAGTTGAGTTTTTGCATACATGAACATAGTTACATTGACTATAGTGGACATATTACATTTTATGCCCTCAAGCTCTAAAATCTCTATTTGTAGATTAGATTAGATTCTAGTAGAATATCATGTTAAAGAAAATTAAAAGACTCTTTATATTAGCATAGTGTTGTAAACGATTGTTCTATTGTTAGAAAAAGTTTAATACAAAATGTTCAAAGATTTTCACTCTCAGCACTTTTTTATTTTTTTAACTTTGTGCCACTCCTAATAATTTTGATCATTAATTTTACTTGTATTGTTCAATTTAACGGCTATGTAACTAAAAGAGGTGTGTACATATGAGGTCAGAAATGTTGTGTTCAAATGATTCTCTTTATGAAAATGCAAGTGCACAATAGTGTGACAATTCACCATATAATGGTACTAAGTTACCGGTCATTCTAACTATTCAACAGTAATTCTCATGAACAAGGACGTCGGCAAAGAAACTATTTAGATTGATTGTTCGATACCATAACACCAAAATGAAGAAAATACACATTCTTTAGTTTTGTATAAGAGGGGGATAAAGGAGCTAGAGACTTCTTGTTCTTTAAGGTCAAAAGTTCAAACAAATTGTTGGCGCAAATTCTCGTTGGGCTTTGGAATCGAGCTTAATTTGATTGAAAAACAAGAAGAAAACATTACACGTCAAAGATTGAAAAAGCAGAGCACCAGACGTGTTGATTTGCTCTAAAATTAATCAATAAAAGCAAAGAAGAAAGAAAAGTAGATAATCATGCTTGGATGCATGCATGCACACTGACTAATGACAGATACCAAATGAAAACAAAACCATGCAGTCAAATTCTCGAAGATGCACGAGAAAGAGCAGCACCCCAAAAGTCACAATTCGATATAATACGTTTATTTTACTTTTCTCCCCCTTTTTTGCAGTGTTTTGTGGTTGAGCAGGGAAAGAGGAGGGTTTTCATTTTTCAAGTTTGAAGAGAGAAAGCATGGGATTGATTGGAAGGGGGGGAGTATGTAGTAGGTTATGAAGAAACTTCACATGAGTTGCGTGTGTGTCGGACTCCAAGGTAAAGAATATGTGAAATCAAACATGACACTATCAGTCTATCACATTTATCAACTCTTTCTCCTTTATGAGGGGAGCAACATGGAAGGAACACTTGGGGAGCCCCTTTACCAACAACACAACATGAGAATCTATCTCTATTTAAAACCAATTGATAAAATACAAAGTAGATCAATTTACTTGTAAGTTCATGCAAGATCTCTTCTCCCATTAATGTGTGATTCATTTTTAAAAGCTTTTTTTTCAATGAAAATGCTAAGACGAGTTACAAGTTACTAATTTTTGATAGTTGATGCGCTCCATAATCATGCGCGCATATGTAAACGGTTGATTCATAAAAGTTATTTTCTCATAAGATATAAAGTCGTTAAAGAGCGCTAAATGAAAAAGATTACTTCTAGATCACAAATGTAATTAAGTAAATTTGTTACACTTGTAAAGATTGTGTTTGGAATTTACGAATTTGTTTACGTACAGTTTAATTTCTCAGCATGCAAGGGTTGATCCACATAGGGGCCAAGGTGAACTAGAGACCATGTAGGCTGGGAAGTACATGTGTGTGGATCTTTCGATGACCATTCGAACTTTTTTGTGCTTAATAAGTGTTTGCTGTAATGCCGTCTAGACATATCTCTACAACACCCAGCAAGTTGCATCAATAACACTGGACAGATTCTCTCGATATAACTTGACAGATTGTTTCAGCATACGTTGATATATGTTGACATGTAGGCATGGCTTAACTGACAATGAGAAGCCCAATAATTGTTCAACAAAATGCCTTACTGAACAAATTGAAATTCTTGTTGTGTGCCTCACTTGTTTCCATCTAACAAACTTAAACCTTTAACAACGAGACCCTCAATATTCAAATCCTGAATTCACCAGCATGCCCACATTTTACCTATACTAAATATGATGGTTAAAAAATTGCAGCTCCCGTCATTCATAGCATCACTTTTGAAAGGACTGGCATGGCTCCTTATTACTTTGTATAATTTTATGGAAAATGCCATTAACAAACGCATCATGTAATATTCAATGTCCTTAACACAGTTGATCATCTCACTATGAACTAGGTGTTCGTTGGTTCCAATCTCACCATTATAATATTTCCAAGTCAAGTCTATAAACATCAATCACATGATCACCATTGTCTTAATATTGATTAATAATTCTACGTACGCGTGTATCCATAGAAAAAATGGTTTGGGCAAGTTGAAAGCTATTAGGTCTTTTTTTTCTAATGGTACAAAAAACATGGCCGCCGCACAAAAGTGGACGGCAAGTAAAGATGATACAATAGTTTGTGAATTATATGATGACCTTTAACCTACTCAGGTGAATCTTGACAAAAACCATTAGCCTTGGACCCACATATCAATGGTAATATGCCCATCAAATGATGTTCAGGCGGTCCACATACCACCCCGGGTCTCAGTGGGTCTGCATACCCATTGAAAGTCATAAATTGAGGCATGCAGAGACAGACTCTTCCATGAGGTGGGAGCCTTCCCAACCATATAAATCGAACCACCCATTTTTGTGAATAATTATTCAATGTATTTGTTGTGAGAAAACTTAAATATGATTGAGTTAAAATAAAAAAATTAAAGTTTAAGTAGGATTGTTATTGTTACTTCATGTTTATTTGTTTCAATGACAGAAAATTCATTAGATTTGAATAAGAAACGTTTACATTAGAGGTCAAAGTATTAAACAATCATTATGCCTCAACACACTCTCATCTATGAAGGCTACCCTCCCTTGAAACAAAAGAAGCTCCTAGATGTGCTGTCTTATTACAAACACGGGAAGTAACAAGAATTTCTATTAACTTCAATTGCTTTTACCAACAACACAACATGACAATTTCTATTAGACTTGATTCGCAGGGAAAGTTACCAAAGCCACCAGTCCCTTTGAAAGATCCCCACAAAATCCCTAACCACTCATCCAAAACCTCCGCTCGCAGTCGTCGTTTGCCATGCTCCATCACAGTTGACCTTGATTGTCGCACCTAGCAGCTAGGATTAGGTGCCTCAACCTGAATTGGACGCCGCACCTCATCCACCGGCACCTCTTGCCTTCGTTTCGTATCTTCAAACTCTCCCCATTGTTGTTACTTTGTGTGGAGTGACGTAACATTTTGGTTAGAATCAATTACTAATTTTTATTTTTAAATACATATCATCTTTTATCAAGATTGTTAGGTCATTTACAAATAAAATCAATTAC